TATATATATATATATATATATACACATACACATATATATATATCGTATACATCAATCAATTATTTAATCGTTCAATGAATCTACCTATCCATCTTTATAGATATACATAAATAGTTTTGTGTATGTGTGCGTATGTGTATTGTGTGGGCGTGCGCGCGCACGCGTGTTCATGATAAAATAACTAGCTGCAGTGTACTCACATTCGTGTAACTCATTTGTTTGCTACACTAATTATATAAAGAATCGCGACTCTTTCAAAAAATATTATTCTTTTCAGAGGAACATAAGATGTTCGCGTTTTCTTATTTTGGTGATACCCTTCTATTAAGAATAGAGATCTGCGTTTGATTTGTGGAAGCATGCATTACTTTTCCAATATAATCTTATAATTTTTATTTGCGGCGAATTGGTAGATAATCTATATAAAAAAAATTAAAAAAGGATATTGCTAAAGTTTTACACTGTTTGTTAGAATATAAAGGAGATATAATTATCGATAAATTTTATATACATCTTTCAGTAATGACCTTATTTATATTATATTATTTGTATTGTAATTTAAATTTTAAGTAACCATCACTAAAGTATATAAGAAACATTAGCATAATTAAAAAATTATTTTACCGTCTTTGTTAACATCTTTTTCTACTATAAAATTGCTATTGATATAAAGAAGTGATAAAATATATTAATTAACAAAAAAGTGGGCAAGAAAAAATAAAATGAATGATTTTGGACGAGAGACGTGGATTGGATGATCAATAGCAATATGCAAAAGATAAAACTCGTAATATGCATTTTCAAGAACTCGCAATACCAGTTGTATAAATCACACGATCGCCGCCGCTGTTTAGGTTCGTGCTTTCGTTAGCCGTTGACGTTGGTGCTGCTGATCCTGGTGCAGGCATCGCAAATATTGGTTGCTGCATATTAGATGCATTTTGCGATGCACTACTCTGAGGTTGAGCTGTCACAGCATCATCATCGCTTTCTTCTTCCTGTGAAAGTATATTTGGAGAATATCGGAAAATATAATATCTCTCATTTATTTACAGAATAGTTATTTGAAGTATATTTTATATTTGTTGCACGCGTTATAAGAATTTAAATTTTATTTTTTGATATTGTGATAAATACATTGCCCAAAAAAATTAAAAGATAACTTCTTCTCGATTAATTTTTGTTTATTTTGAAACTGTAATCACTTAGCGAATAATTAACGTAAAAAAGGGTTTTAAAATTAAAAATTTAGATCCTTAAAAGATTTGTTATAAGATGCTTTTGGTCAATTTTTACTGGACTAAATACTCAAAGGCGTGATCGGCTTTGAATAGGAATGTGCTTTGGATATTCAAATCTTAAAATTTGCGGTCTTCCACCGCGTGACAAAATATTTATGAGCATGTTCATTGAAACTATTTTAAAGTATACAATTTACTCTTTTAAATGAAAAAAAAAACATTTGCCCTTTAATATTGTTACGTTTGACGAAATATCGCAATTTAAACATTTTTTGATGATTGTGTCTCACTTGTCTTCTTTCACCATAGTGGGGCGATATCATCCTACAATCATCAAAAAGTAAGGACTGTTTAAATTGCAATATCTCGCCAAATAATATAATATAATATTGTCATAGAGCAAATTTTTTTTATTTAAGAGAATAAATAGCATACTTTGTGTATCAATGATTATGCTCGTCAATTTTTTTGTTATGTGACAGAAAACCGCAAATTTCAAAATTTTGGATATTAGATACTTTCTTATTCAAAATTAATCTCGTCTTCGAGTATTTAGTTGAGTAAAAAAAAATTGATCAAAAGTCTTTTATAGTAGAAATTTTAGCCTTTAAAATTTTACTCTTTTATACATTTTTTAACGTTAATTATTCACTGAGTAATTACAATTAAAAAATGAGCAAAATTGACCGAGAAAAAGTGATTCCCTAATTTCTTTGAGCAAATAATTACTTTTTTCTTTTTTGCAACTGTAAAATATCAAATAAAGAATTATGTATTTCAGGTTAGTGCTAATTAATAATTACAGTATAAAGTTAAGTCAACTTAACGCAATTAGATATGAATCGGACAACTTACATAGATCCAGCCTTCTAAGGCTGGTCATAATCGGTTCTTATTTTAAGATTGTTTCAAATAATGTCTTAAGAAACTAACACGGCTCTTATGGTCGGTATTCATAGTCCATTCTTATTTCAAGACCATCTTAAGTAATGTCTTAAGATACTAATACAGCTCTCTGATTGATTAATGACATCTTAATACAGTCTTAAATATAAGTATAAACTACGAATACCGGTCTATGATTGGCTTATGACATCTTAAGATTTTTAAGATTGTACTTAAGACAGTCAAGAATCATTAAATATCATCCTAAAATCCTTTAAATCGATTCTGTAATTTTTCTCTAATTTTATTCTTAAATGTAAATGTATCTAATATTTTGTAACATCTTTGAACATTATTTGAATTCATGAATAATATTATTTCTGTCTCTGTAATAGTTTCCATTTTTATATTCATACCAAGTTAACTTGCTTGAATGACATATGTCATTGAGACGATGGGGAAATTGTAAAAAAGAGATTTCGGATTTCACAATAAAAGAATAAAGATAAATTATATCAAATTGTAAATTTACTTAAAATTTTTTAATTAGCAGAACTTGTGATTTTGGAATTGAAGAAATGGACAATATAAAAGAAACACAAAGAAAAAACGTGTCTGTATGGTTAAAACTTTTTTTATTTAAAAGCATTTTTGTTCTCTCTTTCTCTCTCTCTCTCTCTCTCTCTCTCTCTTCTAATAAATTTGTGTTTGCGATATCATATTTTTTCATAAATAATACACGATAAAATTTCTTTATTTCAAATAATAAAGATGCATTTTTTGATAACGCTTTTTAAAATTTCACGGGTTTTATCTTCAAAGATATCAGTGTGGGTTATCACCGTGTTTCTATCCATTGCTAATGCCAACGTTTCGTGAACCTCGCCGTTCGCTTCATCAGGGCGAGAAGCGCACTGATACAGTATCAGCGCACTGATGAAGTGAACGGCAAGGTTCACGAAACGTTGGCATTAGCAATGGATAGAAACACGACGATAACCTGCAAACCTTCTGGTATTAGTAAAGATACATTATTAAAACAAAAATAAGTATAAAATATCGATATTTCATTGAAAGATTGAGTGTTCTTTGGCGTCCTTTTTTTATAAAAAAAGATCTATGTCTTTATTAAAAAATTGAATAACGCGATTTAAAATGTTAGTAATTCTGATGCAAAAAAATTTTACGAATTATTAATCACAAGCAAGGTCTATACAGGGTGCTTCAGACCTAACGCATCATCTGCTAATTCCTGAAGTTATATTTTGAGATTAAAATTCTAATATCAAAATGTTTCGACGCTATAATAATTTTTGAGTTATAATCATTTAAAGCTAGCAAATTATACTGTCTAAAATTTGCACGTTTATGTACAGTGCAAAATGCTAAAAGTAAAAGCTAATAATTGCCTTCTGTTAATAAACAATAATATATAAGATAACGTTCGTTTGTTTGCAAAGCAAAATATCAACATTTAAAATGATCAAGAGACGAGCAAATAAGATATTTAAATAAGCAGATCTTTTTTAACTATTTAATAAAATACTAAATATAATATAAAATATAAATACGTTTCGGCTCACAGTCTTCATCAGTTTATAACTAACATAAAAATTGAAACTTACAAATCTTAAATTTTAAATCTAATTATAAAGTGACAATGAGAGACCAAGTTGATAACCAGACAGAATTTTTACCTTTTGTTTAATATCGATATAAATATTACGTAGGCGAAAATAAAATTACTGCTTCTTGATATTTATTGTGTTAACAAGATATTTAGTCTGGACATTATGGTATTATATATTTTCGTCTCAAAATGACTTCAGGAATCTGCCATTAGCAGGTGGTGAGTAGGTCTGAAATAGCCTGTATTCCATAAAATTCAATAACAATGAACCCACTTAAGAAATTGCCATTAACTACGAATACATCATGCATTTATGCGGAATGAGGCACTACAATAATTCATATTTTACATTGTTTACTAAAGAAAAGTAGCAGTGCACGCAAATATAACAAAATATGATTAAGTAAATTATAATTGCGCAAGATCTGTGTGAAATCGTTCCGACATAATCGAACAATAACAAAAATAGAAAGCAATTTACGACTGCACAAATGAAGATAATTCAAATCTCGAGTATTATAAAAACTTACCTTGCCGAAACCTCGCGGTTGATTTGTCACAACAGCCTCTGGATTCAGGTTCCGCTATAATACAATAATAACATAAACAAAACCGCTAAACTATGTAAGACTTTCTGTAAAACAAAAAATAACATGCGTGACAATAAGAATTCATGCAATTTCAGTGTTGTTTTACACAAGTAATAAATATACAGCAATTTGTGAAAATTTGTTGAATAAATAGATAATTCTATACAAAAATTAGAGGAATCTAATAAACTAGCAACAATAGTATTAAAATTAGACTTATGTATGCTATAGTGTATGCGAAATATTTTTAAATTAAAAAATGCAAAAAAAATTCGTTTGATGCCATCTACATGTGTTGGAACGATATTTTATTTCAGTTATGTGTTTATACGAATATATAGAAACAATTATCAATGTACAAAGCTGGGACTGTTCCAAATATATATTATATAATATATATGTATATATGCATATAAAAGGTATCATCGAGTTGATAATAGAAAAGGGGATTATTCAAGAAAAAATTTCAAAAAGTAAAAATGTAGAAAAGTATTGAATAAAACGACATAAAATAATTTATTTAAATTACAAAAGAAGTTATATCCAAGATCATTTTCATTTTTTCAATAGAATGCTATATCTTTTTACATGTATTAAAATAGTTGAGAATAAAACAACTCACTGGCATGTAAAATCTACTTACAGTTACAAAGTCACTTATGAAGATTACAAAAGCGTCATTATCAGTTTTTCTGTACTTCAAGTTATTAAACAAAGTTTTTTACAAAAAAATTTTATTGTACATTTTTTCATAAAGAATTTTTTTGAAAGTACCATTAGTTCAGACATCCCCTTCAAAGTGTGCGTGTGTGCGCGTGCATGTGTGATGTGTGTGTGTGCGCGCGCACGCGCGCGTGTGCGCGATATGTATCTAATATGAAATTAAATTTTTATGGCTAAAATTTCAAGAGCTGTGCCAAGCCGATATAAAGCGTCTATGGTGCCTTCAAAAAAATAAATTTGCAAGTTTTTAAATAAATACAAACTTTTATGCGTACGTCGATCATTTGTAAGTTGCATGAACTCCTTAAATCGCTTGTTTTTGCAATTAAATATCTACTAAGATATTCATTCCTTGTTGACATGCTTTCCAACTATGTGCCAGAAATTTATTCATAAATATACTCTCTTTAGAGAGTTTAGAATTGTTATGTTCCAATAATTTTTTAAATTCAACTATAGAGTTTACGTTTTGCGTACTGCATTTAGTTGGATTGATATTAAATAACATTTAATTATATCACTGAATTTAAATGTACTGTTATATAATACAGGATTTATAATAAGCCTGTCTAAGTTTATTGAGCAAAAGACTTTCTTATTATCTTCATTTGTAATTGTTCACGCCATCGTAAGTCTTTCTAATGATACAACTAACTGATCTTACAATTAGTGCATGATATAACGCTTCCATATATAATAATCTATGGGTAGTATTAATGTCTGTTGTTTTATTTCTTCTCCATTTTGCTTAGCAAGATAGAAAAACGTTTTGCAAATAAAAACTTGGACAGGCTTAATTTAGAATAACTCGCCACTAAACAGATAATATCTTTTCTGTCGACTAAAGATAAGATTACAGATACTACAACTGTAATTTCAATGATACGTTGGCAATTTTGTCTAAATACACTATCAATGAAATATTTTGAAACAGGGAGAAAATAAAGATATCAATTCTTATTTTCTTAATTATATTCGAACTTTTAAAATCATTTTTTAAGATATTAACATTCACAATATATTGAAAGAAAATTACATTTTATTGAATTTATCTAAAGAAGGAAAATCTAAAACATCATTGAATTCATGAAGTTGACAGAGAAAGAACATTTATGGATATTTTTGAAACATTATCCATTCATTAAATGGAAAGTTTAAAAAGTTATAACGATGATTAATGAATGACAAGTTTATATGATTTATTTATACTAAATCTACAGTAAGAACAATAGATTTTTGTTCTCTTCATGTAAATTAGAAATAATATTTGTTTTTCATGCAATGGGTATAGGTTATGCATATTTGAATAATGTATATTAATAGATAAAAGTTCAGCTTCTACTATTACATGTGCGTCGTACAAAGACAGATTTGTAATTAAGTCCGAGTGGGTATAATAATATGTTATAATATATTTATTTAATTCCTCGTATATTATTTTGCAACAAAATAAAACAATTGTCAAAGAAAAATGTGTGTAAAAGGAAGTCGTACACTAATTTACATATGAAAAAAATAGCAATAAAGATAGAAATACAATACATAATTTTTACAGTTTGCATATTATTATAAATTATCTTAAAATGTTTCTCATTCGTAGAGAGAGATTGAACCATAGAAAATAGTATTCTTGCGACTACTGAATTTTTATTGATAAAATACATATTTTTGAAAGATGAAATCAATGATGAATGAAGAATATAGTTAGAATATTAAAGGCTGATGAGATAATAAATTTGTCATGTTTAAAGGCAATAAAAATAAGAAAAGAAAAAGTAAATTTTTCAGTCAGCTTGGTATGATAATTTATAAACAGAAACTTTCTTATGTTCTTGTTTATATTTGTTACTGTAAACTTCTTTCTTCTACTATATTTATCCATATCATTTATCGTTATGTATATATTTGACTTTCTCGTAGCGCAGTTTTAATATTTGTAAAAAACCCTATCAAAATAAATAATAAAAGTTATATGAATGTTTTTACCTGTAAATTGTGGTATGCACCACTATCCTCGGGAGGAGCTGGTTTACATTTACCGCAACAGAAATAGCAACAACAGCAACAACAGCAACAACAGTAACAGCCAGTAATTATTCCACAAATTATAAACAATGCCTGCAATAAAAACGAAAATATTTTTAGATTACACATGTGTCACATTATTACTTTAATATTTACTAATGTTAACAATATATATACTTTAATGAGATTGGCATAATATATAAGAATATATTTATAATAATATTATCTTAAATGTTATATTTTGTCAACTTTCTACTTTACTTTCTACGTTATATTTTGTTCCTAAATAACCTATTTAAAGATTTATTTGAATCATATATAAATTATGTGTGTGTATATATATATACATATAAATACATACATATATTGTAAATATAATTAATAATTAAACATAATGTATAATTATTTCTAAATCATATAAATACAATACAATAATTGCTTTATAAATTAAAATAAAATACTGGTCAAACTAATTCATTCTCTTACCTTGCACCATCCAGATGTGACAACAAAGTAAGCGTTAACATTTTCTTCTCCAAACTGCTCTGCGACGTATAGACCAAGAGATCCATAATTATCATATATATTACGTTTTGTTAGATCTGTCAGTATGGCATGTGCCCTATTTATTTCTTTAAACTGTAAATATTCAATTAGAAGATATCATATTTTGTAACATTGAAAGTGTAAATAAATTTCAAAATTCGTAATATCAAAAATATTAAGGAAAGAAAATCATTTGCATAATTTAAATTTATAAAAAATATTTTTTTCAAGTTTAGAGGAAAGCCCCTCTTATTATGAAATAGAAAGCACCTAATATATGATAGTGGCGTTTCTGTTAAACTAATAAATGTGCTATCTGTTGGTTCCATCATAAATTTATTGCTCAGGTTGAAAACTATTTAGTCGAAAATTCATTATTAGATTGTGCTTATAATCATTGTAGAAAAAAGATATTAGAATTTGGATGTCCTCAAGTTTTATTAATGAGTCTGTAAACCTTGTTTGTTACTTAATAAGTAAATATTTGGCAATAAATTCTACATATAGTGATAGAGTAAGATCATATTAATAGAAAAATATGGGATATATGTTGAATTGCTCAATTATAGAAGTTAGATTTGATGATTGTAAAGACGTAAGGATTGGAATATGAGATACTCTGGGTATTTCTAATATAAAATAATTTATGATCGAGTGACTGAATCGTTGCTGAAGTATGAATGTTATTGTACAGTAATAAAAAGGATAACTCTGTACAGAATGAATAATAAGTGCCTGTTTTTACAATGCTCGATTCCAACTATTCTTGAAGATGAGTCCTGGGTAATGTGTTGCATGTTCATTCTGTGTATACTGTGTGCGTTTGTATTTTAGAAACATTAAATAAAGTGTTTTTAATTGCAATACTGATATACTTTGCACTTTATTGTTGATTTCTCGGAGTATTACGAGCATAATTTTTTGTCTTTACGATTCGCTCATTCTTCTCTAATTTATATTTCTCTAATTTAAAAAGAAAATATTTGAATTAAATTTTACATTTTAGTGTATCTTAACAGTTTATTAAATTCCCTTCAAAATGACCTATTATTTTTTTTCAATTTTACTCATAGACTTTCAGCAATTACCCAAAATGAATTCAGCCTCTCATAATAGGGGAATTTCCTCTATATATAAAAATAAATATATTATAAAAGTAAACAGATTTTAAAAATGAAAATAACCTTTTCAGCTGCTTCTGGATTGTTAGGATTTTTGTCAGGATGGTATTTCAGGGCCAGTTTTCTATAAGTTTTTTTAATTTCTTCTGAAGTAGCAGTTTTTGGAACTTCCAAAATCTGATAGAGGGAGTCCCCTGCTGTACTAAAAAATAGAGATGTATACATATAAATCAACAAATTTTTGTAACATGATTAACAAAATTAATCAAATCGCTAATTAATTTGATAAAAAGTAAGTCTTTATCATTAATATATCGGACAGCAGGATTTCGAATAATAACTTTCAGATATGTAAATCTGTCGAAAATAGATTTTACAAAATATAACATCTGTTACAAATTTAATCGAAAGTAGCATAAATATAACAGAATCTTGTAATTTTGTAACTATTTAAGTGACATAGCTTGTTAAAAAATTATTAAGCAAAGGCAAATTGTTTGATTTGATAAAACCAGATGTAGCTTAGTTATGAACGCATTTGATATCATTTACTGCAATATTTCGTTCAAAGCCAAAAAATTGTATTACTACAATTTGCTTATTGGATTTATAAAATACTTAAAATTTTATAATACTATACATTAATTTATATTTTTATATCTAAGCTACAATAAATACTTTGAATATAAATAACAATAAAGATTTAAATTCAGAAATAAAATTATATTAAAAAAGCGAAAAAAATTGACATAATTATACGGCTGAGAACAAAAAATATTGCAAAAATTACAGTAACCTATCAAATGATCAATTAGACAAAAATTAAGAAATATTTTAATATTCAGATATTCATACACACACGCGCGCGCGCGAACACACACACACACACACACACACACACACACACACAAATGAGTGACAATTCGCATAAGTTTCTATTACGCATAAGTAAAAAAATACGTTATTTCCTTATATCGATATAATCTATACATTTTGCTGAAGTAGACAGGTGGATATCAACCGGCGAATAGATAAAGAAAAACGTTGGGAGTGTTACTCCAATGTCACACGACTATTAGTTAACCCGTCTTCAAAAGAACCAGTATAAAGACGATGATCAACTAGTCGAATAGTTTATCAGGGCAATATTGTGGCAGTTGAAAGCGATAAGGTGTGCAAAACAGCAGATGACAGCGCATAGTTAAAGTATTGGGCGTCTTCACTCTTCAATGTCGCGACATATTTTCTACTTACGACATTTTTCTTCTGTCCATGGTGAAAGCACTGATCAGTCAATTTCTCACGCGAATTATTCAAACAATAAAGTTTGTCCTCAATCAATTTTTTTTAACGATACTATACGAACATTTTCTTCAATGTATCAAACGAAAATGCGTGCACTTCTTTCAGCAGAAGCGTTCCGGAGCACTATCAGCATCATACGAAAGATTCTACTCGATTCAATATTTTAGTTCCGCTAGTCAACGTATATGCGCCAAAGTGGCGCTAGGAATAAAGCTCTAGTAGAGTCCCTAGAACTAATGGCGAATTCGATTGGAAACACCAGTGCAAGAAGACTAGAACCAGGAGAGTCAACTCGTGCCAATAGCGGTAGTGGGGGTGAGGCAAAAAGTGGCGACGGATAACTTCCCCCACTCTTGCGCTTCATTAGTCCTCTCTGTCGCTCTATATAGTTGTCGCTCTATCGTTCTATAATCGTCACTTTGTCGCTCTTATATTGAACTTTCACACAATGCGCAGTGCCGCTGCACATCGGCTGCGTTCAGCAGACTCAACAGTTTTGCAACCGTTTTATGATTGTCTGCTGAGATAGGACCATTCTTCTAGATCTAAAAGTATGATCCAATCAGCGCGAAGGAAACTTCCAACAGTTGCAAAACAAACGTTCTGCTGAACGCACCCAT